CTCAACCCCCCTTCTCCCTCCCCCCCGTGGCCAGCCCCCGAGGCCCCTCCACCCCTCCGGCTCCCCTCGTCCCCACGCTGCCACTGACACAATGCACAGCGCCCACGCTTAAAAATCTAAATGCTTTTGAAAATGTTTAACCTAGTTAGACAAATTAGCAAAAATTTGTGCAAAACAATTTAGGTATTTAAAATATTCAATGTTTTTAAAAAACTGGAAAACTGTTCTTAGCTTTCAGCTGCAAAAACCAACAAAATATAACATCCCAGCAATCTTACCATGAGGTGTAACATAACCCTTCGGGAAAGCTGTTAAACAGCTACTGAGGCATCCTGGGAAATAGCACTTCATTTATTCAAATGCACATATGTCAGGCTTTTGCACCATATGTCATTCCAAGCTATTTACAGTAATAATTAAATCTTAATCAACGTTTAACCTCTGTAAAATGTTTGAAGAATCCTAATCACCCTTCAGACTGCACTAATGAAGGAGAAATATATAAACATAAAAGGAAAATGATGCATAGATATCACGCTGGAAAGAACAGTAATTGCAAAATTGTATTTCTTTTAAATATAATCAGTAAATGATGTAAAGTAAGCCAAGGAGTATTTTAAGTTAAGACATCTTGGATGTCAGAGGTGTGAGCAGCTAATTTTGTTCTGCTACCCATAACAGATGTAGCATATTTTATTTTAGTGCCATTATTAGCAACTTCCCATGCCGGCTTTCACTGAAGCACTGAGGCCCGCATTAAAATCAGTGAGGCTGCTCACCACCACGGTGGAGGCCCACGGCCCAGGGCCACGGCCCACTGTGCCCACTCCCCAGAGAGTGCTGGTCCGGGGGAAGACTGCGGCCTCCCTCTCTGCACCCCAGGCTCCCAGGGCTCCCCTCCATGCTGAGGGCAGCAGGTAGGAGGGGAAGTTGAGGGAGATGCAGGCAGTGGGAAGGCTTCTGGGGAGGGGGTTGAGGCGCTCAGGAGCAGGGGCTTGGGGACAGAGCTGGCATTCTGAGTTTCTCTCGAATTTCAATTCGGTCTGCCCTCAAGTCAACAGATGTTCATGGCCACCAGCTCCATACACCCGGGCTGGGCACACAGAGATAGACGAGACTGGCCTGTGCCCTTGAGAAGCTCCAAGTCTAGGGAGGAGTTAGACAATGAAAGCAGATGGATTCCAGAGAGATAAGCAAGGTGCCATGGAAACTGGGGAGGGGGTGGGGTTGCGATTTACTGATGAAGGAGCAAGGAAGGAAGACTTCTCAGAGGAGGTGGGCCAGGAAGAAAATGGAGGATCTGGATAAGAGCAGGCAGGCAAAGGTCGGGAGGTGAAGGGGAAACAGCTGGCTAGCACGGCCTGGATGGGAGTGGGTATGCGATGGACAAGATAGAAATGTGACAGGAGACGGCGGCAGGACTGGGACAGGTGGGCCTGGTGGGCTACGCGAAGGTGCCAGCATTTTGTCTGAGAGCAGTAGAGAGCCATGGAAGGACTCTGAACGGAGAGGGGGAGCATGCCCCAGACTCTGTTTCAGAAGGTCTCTCTGGTGGCAGTGCCTGAGGGGCAACAGAGAGGGCAGGAAGCCTCCTGGGAAACAGCTGTCATCAGAGAGGGGCAGGTCCTGCCCTGGGATGCATGCGATGCATGCTGTCGGAGGGGCAGGTGGGAAGGTATGCTGAGGAGCCTTCTGAAGATGGAATCCATAGGAGTTGATGACCAATCCCACGTGGGGGTGGGAGGGAGGTGGCAAGGATGACTATGCGTTGGATGACTCCTAATTCTAGCTCAGGAGCTGGGTGGCTGATGACGTCATTCTCAAAGGCAAGGAATACGGAGGGATGGGTCAGGTGGGGGAGGTGGGCTCGGGGGCCATGTGGAGTCATGGAGGGAGCCTGTGGGTTCCCCAGGTGGGGAGGCCTGGGAAGTGGGGGCGGGGCACAGGCTCTGGAGCTCTGGGCAGGAGAGGGAGCTGAGATGTGCAAGTCCAGCCAAGGCCTCCAGGGAGGAGGCGCTTGCCCGGGAGAGCAGATGGAGGAGAGGGTGCCAAGTCCTGGGGAACAGGCACATTCGAGGGGCAGGAGAAGGGAACAAGTCCTGGGTGGCCTTAGGGGATCTGCCCAAGGAGCAGAGCAGTGGCAGAGGGTGCTGCAGACCCCAGCAGCCAGGGACACCAGGCAGACAGAGCATTCTGAGGGTGAGCCCTGAAGAGGGTTCGGAAGTTGTGGGCTTGGCAACTGGACGTGGGTGACCTCCCAGGGTCTAGCTCTCCCAACTGCCCATGCGGTGCTGACCCTGGGTCATAGCCTCTCACTCCTACCCTGGGACAACTCAGCTGATCATCTGCTAGGACTCTCCAGCTCTCTGGCCACAGGCCGGTGTTGGGCCTAGTGCCTGCCATCTTTAGCTCTGGTGGATGTCCACTGGGGCCCTCACCCCTGGGCTTGGCAGGGTTGGGGAGCTGTAGCAGGGCCCCCTGTGTTGCCTGACAACCAGACCTGCTGTCCCCACCACAATAACCAAATGTCCCCCTTGAAGGCCAGCTCTCTGAGGTGTGACACTCAGGCTCCTCCAAGGGAGTCCCATCCTGGCCACTGCCTGGCCCTGGCCTTAGACCTTCAGGGAGACACGAGTGATTCAGGTTCCGCGGGAAGGCCTGCTGCTGCCCCACCTCACTCCCAGGTCTCTGAGGTGGGAACAAAGGGTCTGGGCTGTGCTCTCAGGGTCCCCCAGTGGCTCAGATGGGCTGACGAGTAAGAACTAAGGCCACTTGGTTGGCAGCAGAACCACACACCTCCTGGGTGGGGTTGCAGGGGGACGGAGTAGGGGCTGGGGGCACAACAGCAACAGTCAGGCAAGCCAGAGTCTAGGGGAGTGGGTCGAGAGGGGAGAGGCGGCAACTTGCTGTGACCATACACAGCTCTGGGGGGAGAGAAGGGCAGAAAGAAGGCTGGGCAAGGAGCACCCTGGGAGCCCAGAGCGGGGAGCCAGCTGGGGCTGCTGCAGCTGCAGGGCCCTACGGGCAGCTCTCTCATCTGGGGGCTCCTCCCCAGGAACCAGAGCTGTTGGCAGGGACTCCCTTGGTGAGGTGGGAGGGTGTCTGGGATGGGGAGTCAGAGCCCTGGGGGCGGGGGTCTCCAGGACCATCACGGAAGCTGAAGTTAGCAATCAGCACTGGCTGATGGTAGCCCCAGCCCCAGAAGTGGGGATGCCGGGAACATGCCATGAAATAAGCCAGGTGTCACCCTCCCTCCCAGGGAACTCTGTGGGATGTGCCTCCCCTGGTCCTGCCCCTACCATATCAGAGCCCCAACCCCATCCTTCAGACCCAGCTCAGGCCCTGCTGCCCCTCTGAGGGGTATCCCCCGATAGGGAGCCCCATGTCCAGTATCACCCCAGGCTCCCTGAGCACTCCTGGCTGGTTCCAGAGCCCTTGGAACTGTGTGACTGCCTTCCTCTGCAGCGTGGGAAGGGTTAACCTTAAGCTATTTACCTGTCTCCTGGCTCATTTTGGGTGGGGGGCCAGAGTCAGGAATGCATCTGGGGCCACCTCTGACTCAGCCCAGGAGCACACACACCTGCAGCCAGCAGCCAGTGGCCAGCGGATAGGTTACAAAGTTGAACC